CCTCGAGGTTATGATAAGAAACGCAAGAATCCAACTCTTCTAATAAAAATCCGATTGTTAATTAAGCTAGTTTTTATTTTTTTTTTCTTTTTTTTTTTTTTTAAACGTTACGAAACCTCGTTTACGTTAACGTAAATCTGTCCATCATTATAATCCATAAATTTTCAAATTAATAGCAATACATGCATTTATTAAAAAAAAAAAAAAGACGCAAACACATACGTAGATTCTTTTTCATCTCGTAAATAGAAACGATAAATAATTATAGCCACATTTGCTGAGAACCATTAAAAGCTTACCGATATTCGAGTACGACATATTCGAGTACGTAGACATAAACCCATGCATACGTAAAATTCGTTGGGAAATGATTTACGGAATGTGTTACGGAAAAATTTTATTATGCGGGATGGCACAGCTTCTGGCGTTTCTCTTTCGCTTTTATTTTTTTTCTTCTTTTTTTTATTTTTTTTTTTTTCTTTTTTATCATAAAAAAATGTAAAATGTTTTATGGATGATAATCGAAATGACCATTGTAATAAATTTTTCTTACTACTCGGTTATAACCAAACCATCCAATAAAAAGAATTCGATGGTTGAGTTCTAAGTATCTAAGATCTGGAATAATTTTATATACGTTGCTCTCTGAAACATTTAGACTGAAGTGCTTATATGTAAAAGAGAGAGAGGGAGAGAGAGAGAGAGAGCGAGAGAGAGAGAGAGAGAGAAAGAGAAAGAGAAAGAGCAAAACCAGGCAAACCACGATTAAATTGGAATTACGAATCGATCTGTTGAAATCTCCGACCCTAAAGTACTTCCTAGCCACCGCGTTGCAATTAATTAAACTGGCGACCTGATTGCGCTGCGCTTAATTACGACGATTGTTTGGGAAACTTCGTTGGCGTGTGCGACTTGCGTCGTTGATTTTTTTCTTTGTCACGAGCAAAGAAATCGTGCGAGAAAGCATCAGTGAAATATTCGATTTTGGCTTGCATGGAAAATCGATTCACGTTTACCGTGGAAGTTTCTACACGGTTGTCTTACATTATCTTACGTTCTTTTTTTCTCCTTTATCATACAAACGGTGTATCATTGGGTAAACTACAAGAAACGAGAGATTATATTTTTAACGATGACAAGCAAGTACATTTACATAAAACAAATAAAAAGGAAACACTACAAATATAAAAGAAGTCTAGGACAAAAAAAAATATATATATATATATGTACGTAGGTATTACATAGGTAGGTTAGGCGAGAACTCTTTCTCACGACGACGCGATAAATTCAACGTGTGGATTCTTTACGGCCTTGCGGAATTCCGTAACCATTTGTCCTCATTTACCCAAGCAACAAAGCCGATAGCGTCGCTCTTTGTTTCGAAAGCCATTAGTAAATTACCTCTCTTTGTCTCTCATCGTAATCAAGGGTATTTTTCTTTCAAAGCATCGTGTCCATGTTTTTAAACGACGACAGTAAAGAACGCGTGTCCCTTCTCTTTAACTCTTCTTTTACGTGATAAAGCCAAAAATAAACACTAATTAGTACAGACTGACCAAATATATATATATATAAAATCCCAAGATTTAAATGGACGTATCAAAGAAATAAAAGAGAAAATATGAAATAACGTCAAAGTCCGAATACGTATCATGTAATTATAAGCGTATAATAACGTATTACGTTATTTCGAGAGAGAGAATAACCATGAAAGAAAGAGAGAATAAATGAGATATTTATTCTATAATTCTGCAGTAACAATTTCTAAAATTTTGATAGAGTTTGAAACAAGTAAATAATTAATATTTGTTATGAAAATGAGGGAGAATTTCGAAATACAAGAGGTAAAAGTTCGGCCTCTCTGGATACTCACAAGAGGGTGGCTCATAGGAGATTAAAGAGTGTCAGGGGTTAGCTGGCAAACAAATAAGCTGCTGTAAATTAGAACTGTAACGAAGCTACCGTGTATTCGCATACCGTTGTAATGTTCGCATTACTATTTTCTATATATATTCGCCGCAGTTGTGTATACTTTCTTTCTTTTTTTCTGCAAGCATTGAATTTATGTAAATAAATGAGTATATATTTTATAAAAATGTGTATATGTATATATATATATATATATATATATATATATATATATATATATATATATATGTATATATATATCTAATTCCGAGCCGTGAAAATATATTCAAGGATAATATTATCAAGTGCAATCAGTGCATTTTGGCAATTCTAGTATGCAATTTCGTACGTGCTTGCAACGCGAATCTCTTTTTCTCTTTCTCTCTTTCGATCGAAGATCGATCGATCTTCCAGGAATTCTGATTGCACGAGAGTCCTTCGTAGGGAAAGTATTCAACGTTATTTAGATAGAAAACGATTTTACAGAGTACTAAAATCCAACTTTACTTTGATCGTATCTTTTCTCTCGTTTTTTAACTTTCTTGTATCGTTGTACGAGTGCGGACGTTCGCACGAATAAAGATAGAAAGAGAAAGAGAAAGAGAAAGAGAGAGAAAGAGAGAGAGAGAGAGAGAGAGAGAGAGAGAGAGAGTACGTCCTTTGCGGATTACGAAAATAAAGCGGAACGAAGCTTCGTAACACGGACGTATACTTTGCATCTCGCGGGTTTCCACGTAACGAGCCAATCAGAACTTCAAACAAAGCCATGCATTCTCCGAGGCGGGATTTTCTATTTCGTTTATGCTCGCCGTCGTCTTTCTTCTTATGCCGACAACCAGAAAGTAGGGTAATCTTTATCATTTTTTCTTACCTTTTTCTTCAAGAATAAGGAGGTATTCCTTAGAAGAAAATATCAACGTATGCCGTGAATAACGTTATACTTTTAGAACGAAGTCTCTTAATATATAACATCCTTGATATTCATTTAAGATCAGTTGAGTTGAAATATTGTTTGCCGAGAGTCAGCTTATAATATTGAAATGAAGTTGAGCGGTGACTAGAGCAGAGTGGCCCATCTTCAAATTGCGTCAGGAAGAAATTTACTCAGTGCAATTTCCCAACTTAAACCTGTTTATCATCCCTGGTTTTATAATAATTTACGCCAGCAATGAATCTGGACATAATTTTTCGATAATTTAAATGAACAAGGTCTCGTTTTAAAGAGGAACGTTTATACGAGCAGATGGATTATTAGAACTTTTGAAAAAAAAAAAGATTTGAATTTTCTTTGGAAAAGAATCATGCTATTTTTTCTTTTCTTTTTTTTTTTATTTCTTTTTCTTTTACAAAGAAAATCACTTAAAAATTTCTTTTTTAAGACTAGGTCCACTTTGTATCATTATTATAGTGATAATGATAAGGGGAATAAATAGAAGAAGTTAAATATTATATACATCATGAACATAATAATTATATTGATGAAATTCTCTCATGAAATCAATGTGAAATAAAAATTGATAGTAATTATGTAATTAATCGGTAGTAAAATGATTATTTTTTACTTTTCAATTAAATAAATAGATCTCGCTTTACTATTGATTTAAAAAACAATCGTCTTGAATACACGCACACAATGTGATTTAAAGTTTGATACCAGAGAGAATATAAAACCTTTCAATTAGATGAAATGTCGAACAGTTCTTTTCTACTTTTCGATTAGTCTAATAGACCTCGCGATACTATCGATTTTTCGTGCTTTCTTTCAAAAGACATTAAATGCGATAGCAATTTGTCTCAATTTTAAAAGAATAATTATATACAGGTAGAAGTCATCGTTAAAATCGTGCATTACTTAACAATTATTTCCACGTGATGGGACTAACTATTTTCGTAAGGATCTTCGTTTGAACTTTTAAGCGGATCACTTCTTTTAAATCAACTTCGATTTAATTACTTTTTGCTCGTTACGACGATATTCAAGATACCAATTTCTCGTTATCAGTTTCTATCTTTTTATATGCTTGCACGCGTTCTATTATACTATCTCGATTTATTATTCTTTCCAAAAATACTATTGGAGGGGACTTCACTAAAAAAGAAACTTTTATAGTTGGGTGAGACTTTATTAAAAAGGGACTTTTATGATTGGGTGAGATTTTTTTTTTTCTTTTCTCCTTCTTCTTCCAGGTTGAATCTTCCTAAGAACCCTTTCTTTTTTTTTTTTTTAGATTGGATCCATTTATCGTCGAGGAAGTTACGACTCACATCGATTTAGATTTTTATAAGAGGGAGTTTTTCGAATCGTTTCGCATTATATATAAAAAGAAGATTCTTTCTCCCATGTGGATAAGATAAATAGAACACTCGTATTAGTGGCCACGGACACAGGTATCCATAAGCGCGATTAAGTCCAACCATAGATCCCAAAGTAATTTGCAGAATCGCGAAATCACGATTGATCGTACTTAATAATGATGACTGAAGCTTCCGGTGTTGGATGGTTGAACTATCGATCAGCCAAGTTTAACCCGTTTGCAGTTAATGTTGAGACCTGAATTCTCGCTAATTGTAAATGGCACGTCATTCCGAAATTTAATTTTTGCTTTGATTTTTAAGTAATCGTAATATAGTAATATAAAAGTATAGAGTTACCGCAAAACCGTGCAAAAATCGATCTTCAGAATCAGTAACCTCCACGTGGTTACATTTATTTTCGGTATAATATATATCATTCTTTCTATGATATATACTCGATCTCAAGTAATATCGGATATTTTCTTGCGTGTTTTTTTTTCTTTTTTTTTTTTTTTTTTTTTAATATATTATTATCTAAGATATATATGCTTCGAATGAAATTTAACGAACGGCCTTAATAATTGTGATTTCATAAAATATTCTTATATTTGTGAAATTTAAAAGTTTTATATATTTATTTAAATATATATAGTTAATTCAGTCACAATCATTTTTAAAAAGCAGCAATTGATCACTAAAAATCGAAACGATTCTATAAGTCAGTGAGGTAAGTATAGATTATAACAAAAAAAAAAAAAAAAAAAGAGTACGAAGAGAGTCCAAAGAGAATTTCTTACCTGGTAGCTTCTTGTAGCAACAGGTGAGGTGGCACCCAAAACTTAACCCTGAGAGCGAATCTTAAAGGCACCACGCCTCCACCGGTCTGCCTCTCTATAGGATTTCTCAAATTCAACCAGAGTTCTTCGCCCTTTGCGTTCTGATACTTTAATCCGAAATAGTCGCATTCTTTGCTGATTCCCAAATAATCGCATGCCTACAAAAAGAGAAATTTTTTGATTAGCGTATGATCAAAGTTTGATTGAGGAAGAAAAAGAACAAAAACGAAAAAAAAAAAAAATGTAATAAACGAATAAAATTTTCAAAACGATTAAATTCCAATTGTTATCGTATATCCAGAAATTTTACGTCGAAATATTAATCATGATTATCGTTTTGCTATATATATTTACATATATACATGTATATAGTTCCATATTCTCTCTCTCTCTCTCTCTCTCTCTATCTATCTTTCTTTTATATCTCCAAGCTTCCTATCTGACTAGCTTCGATGTCGCACGTATAATTAACCGTTTATCCGGACGTACCGGCCGATTAATCCGCACAAAACCGCAGGCCAATTCATGGGAAAACAGCGACTCGAGCTGCCAGAACGGCAAACAAATTGCCGGTCATAATTTAGAAAGTTACTGCAGAAATGGATGTGCGCACACGAACACAAACACAAGTATTATTCCCTGCAAAGCTATTATCCACACGCACATATTTTTTCTCCCCTATGATTTCTATCCATTATCGTAAAAAGTCTTTCCTTCATCGAATCAAATCTGACATGGTGAATCGAATCAAAAAAAAAAAAAAAAATTTGGAATTCATAATTACGTAATCATGGAACACGTTATATTGATTCCTAAAATTATTATATTTATCATTAATGAAAGATTTTCAAATAAAATACTGATTAATGTAGAGATGATTTTATTTGATTGTACCTTTAACAGGATTATATAAACATTTAGAATCTCAATTATTAGTTTATTAAAGAGTAAATTTATCAAACAAGAGTTCGAGTCGGTTAGCTCGAATAATCCAAGCCCTACCGAAAGTTACTTGGAGTGTAAACTGTTTACATAGGTATGTATATCGCATTCGAGTTTCCAAACCAGCACACTACTCGGTTTACCCAACTGGTCATTGTCACGGTACCTTGCATCCTGATTGCCTATCGGGCCTTCAAAGTGTTAGCTTTTAAAAACTAAATTCGTGTCCTTCATTCCAATGTGAAATTTAAATACATAATCTTTATTCATTATTGCTTCATCGTATCATTGAATTATCGTGACACATTTGGACGTACGATCGAACTACCATCTTTTGATTAATTACAATTTCAAGGTTTTCCTGTTACAACCTTATTACATGGCACCTTTGCTATTAATGGATATCGTCATTCGACTAGATGGATGTGATCTATCAAGGTTACTTTTCAAAATCATTGTGTACGATGGTCAAAGAATATTAATAGAAAATATATCGGGGTCTCTTGATGTCATATCAAATTTCATTAGAATCAATAGTATTCGATATTACGATCTTTATTATGATCGCTGATTTTTATCGAAAAACAAGTAAAACATAAAAGTACAATCATTCGCTACGGCAAACTCATATCATTGATATTAATCGAATACATGACATTACTTGAATACTTTTATTAAAATATTTTTTTCGTAAAATTCTCTATTGGATAGAATTATATTTATAAAAAATATGTTCGAGTTCATCGATATCTATATTCTGAGAATTTTATTCTGGGAATTATTAAAGAAAAATGAGATGGTTATTTATACAAATAAAAAGAGAAAAAGAACGCGATTTAATCGACGAGGAAAAGCCGAATGCCGAAGAAAAAGGAAATTCGAACGAAAATTGAAATCTCTGACGATTTCAATTTTGATGCGGCTACCAAAGGAAAAGTTGACTGGTTTCCTCATTTCTCTCGGAAACAATGAACGGACCTTTCGCGAATAAATATTGAACTTCGTAAGAGACGAAGGGCGAGAAGAAAAAGGACAACGATCAAGCCTTTGGACGTTCATAGAAGTCGATCGCTCTTTTCGTTCGAGTCGAGATACTAAAACCTAAAAGAAGAAAAAAAAAAAAAAGAAAAAAGAAAGAGAAAAAAAAGAAACAAGACAAAAAGAAACGAAAAAAAAAATATACAAGCCTTTGATGAGATCCAATTTTGTACGGGGAATGCTTTTCCTAAAATATATAAAATACGTTTCATTTCAATTCGCTTTAGGCGATCATCGAAAGCTTTCTTTAAGTTACTACACGAGAGAATAATAATTATTCGTCCCTACGCCCCCCATCCTTTCCTCTTCACAGTACTTTCATCTCATTTCCCCAAAGAAAACTTTCTTCTTTTCTCATAGAAACACACGGCTGCTCTCGCTGAGGATTTAACTTTCTTGTTAATTATTTCCCTTCTTTAATGTCCGAAGAAAATGCATCTCATTCAATACTATACATACATTATTATTATATTTTATAGATCGTATATTTTACTTTTATATTTTATTTCTACAATTGTTTCACGTTTAATTATTACTATTTCAACAAATGAAATAATATTCATTAGTTAAAAGAACATTCTTATTGCCAAGAGGAGAACGTATATCATTTACTCATGTAAATAGCTTGTTATAAACAGTTAAAACTATTTTCGTCAGAGATTAGCTGTTACTTGCGAATCTTGGAAAACTCGGTCATGCGCATAGCGATAAGGAAAATTCACGGAGAGTGAAATACCGGTTGTTTCTGGTGCAATAAATTCCATCTCTCTTTCTCACTCTAACTCTTTCAACTTGTCCCCGGCAGAGGCACTTTCGTCGTTTCAATGACTTTCAGAAACAATAAAAAAAAACTTCAAGATGAATAGTTCGCGTTGCAAATATTACTTATCTTAACTTTGTTTATTCGTCGGACGCAACACGTCAAACGACATTAATGTCAAGAAAATCTTGAACGACCCGACGATTTTTTTTTTTTTTCTTTTTCTTTTTCTTTTTTTTTTTTACATTTTCCATTATTCTTCTTTTCTTTCTTTCCTTTCGAATATTCTAATTCTGGTCTTTTTCTTTTTCTTCTTCTTTTTCTTTCCGTCGGAAAAACTGTCGAAAATATCATAGGGAACTTTTAAAGTATCGTCCGAATGTAACTGGGACGAAAATTTGCAAAAAGTAAAAGTTTCTAAAAATACATGGCTAAAAAATGTATAAAATCTCTTCGGTCCTCTTGTTGCCATGCATTCGACAAAAATCCGATGAAAAGTGAACGACATGATATTTAGTTGACTGAGTGAAGTTCATATTTGCTCATAAAGTCGTTCATTTCACTCAAACAATAAAGAAGCTTTGACATAAACCGTATTAGAATTCGTACCGACAAATCCGATAAAGATTAAAGTTACAAACCGTAAATTACGATCATTTTATCCGATTAATTCTTTACTCTTGCTCGTCGATCGATTGTACTTTTAAATGTTGATTTAAATCGAAACGAGATCGTCGAATCCATAAATCGAATCTATAAATCGTTCGACATATTGCGACTGTCCATTTAAAATCACATTTTAATACGATAAATAATTTGTTTCCCCATAGATCCGAGCTAGTAAATTCCACGCTCGTTATACCAATGAATACTATTATTTTATACAATCAATCGGTACAAATTTATTCATAAAATTTCCTTCAAAAAGAAATCTTTAAGTTGCAATAATATTTTTTCATTATTCGTGATAGTATGTGAAAAAAGTTTTAATTATAGTAAAAAATTGAAAATATCTTATAGAAAAATGCAATACTACTTTAATTATAAGATTCATTATTTTAGCACATAATGATAATGATTTTATTGCGGTGTATTTAAAACGAGAAGATAAAGTCGAATTTCGAACGTGCACCGACTAGAGACAGATTTTAATTATGAAACCAAACGATCCCAAGCTTCGTTTCGAGCTTGCTTTGAATGAACCGCTACGAGTGATAGTGCGCTTTAGTGATCGAAATGTACCCTCGGGAAACCTCGTTGGAAGGAAAAATCTAAAATGCAGAAAGCATATTCCATCCATCGCATCTATTTTATCTGTAAAGTTTTTTTTCTCTTGTAGATTTAACGCAAATAAAGGGAGAAAATTAATTTTAATCGCGGCACAATATGCAAATTGTTATTATCGAATATCAACATCATCAAATTGATTCATTGAAAATATTTATTCAATGTTATATTTATTAAAACAAGTAAACGTACATAATATTTAAGAATTATATATATATATATATATATAAAGAGAAGTTCTTGTTTCGCCGATCGTTTCGGAATATCGAATCTTTTTCGCCTTTGTTCGGATTATTTAAAATTCACAGTACGTTCGGAAGAAGGAAATGTTGTGCGGTTAAAAAGAAGAAAAAGAGAATGAGAAAGAGAGAGAGAGAGAAAAGTTCGTAGCTCGTTGTGGGTGCAATCGTTTTCGATATCTCGATATCGCATGTCACTTTTGGCGCGGTTTTCGAATACAATAAGCGACACAACGAGACGCGTCGACAACGAGAATTTCTGTTGCATGTGGATTTGCTCTGCCCCAGGATACAATTCGCTCGTCCTCTTTTTATCTTTCTTTCCCATCCTTTCTCTGTATTCGTCCAAGCTCAATGCAACGTGTACGCGACATGCACGCGTGCATCGTCGACTTTCATAAATATTCAGATGGCACGGCAGACCGTTTTGAAAAATCGTCGGTACGATAACTTCGAGAGAGAAAGAGAGAGAAAGAGAGAGAAGGAGGGAGAAAGAGAGAGAGAGTGAGTGTGTGAGAGAGAGAGAGAGAGAGAAAGAGAGAAAGATGGACAGAGATAGAGAAAAAGAAGAAAATGGGAGAAACGAAAATGGTGAGACAAAAGAACGCGTCGAGTGGCGCCATTCTATTTTTGCTAAGTACGTGTACGCGTTTCGTGCATCTGTGGGCGAATAAATTCTGTGAAAATTGATTCGCATAAAATAGAAATACCGTTATAGAAAACGAGATATTCCGTTCATTATTTTTAATTAACCATTAAACGTTAAACGGAATACAAATAAAAAATCTCTTTATTTTGTTGGAATAATTATTGGGAATAATATATTAAAAAATATATTCAATTTCAAAAAGAAATATTAACTCATAGAGATCTTTTGTTTTTATTCATCGTT